TATCTATCTATCTATCTATCTATCTATCTATCTATCTATCTATCTATATACACATATATGTACATATAATATATATATACCTGTATATATTATATATATATAAATATATATATCAGACTCAAGGTTCTGTACTTGGACCTAAGTCATTTATTTTATATATAAATGACCTGGTAAATGTGTCAGGACTGTTTAGATGTGTTTTATTTGCAGATGATACTATATTTTTTGTTCGGGTAAAGATATAGAACGAACGTTAGCGCTCAGGAGAGTGGTGGCACAGAGGTTAGAGAAGGTGAGCCTGTAATCTGAAGGTTGCCGGTTCAACTCCCCGGGCCGACAACATTAAAAATGTGAGTGGGAAAAGTGACACACCTGCCTCCACCTTCATTTCCCCACTCTGGGCCCTTGAGCAAGGCCCTTAACCCCCACCATCTGCTCCCCTGGGCGCCCTAAACGCAGCTCTCTGCTCCACACAGAGGCTGTGGAAGCTCGGTGGTCGTGTCAGGAAGGACATCTGGTGGAAAAACAATCACCAAGACTTTTCTGCGAATTATTTCACTGTGGTGACCCCTGAAGAAGGGAGCAGCCGAAAGAAAAGTAAAAATAAAAATTTAGCTTCAGCTCGTCCAAAATAGATCTTGAATGAGTTAATATTTAAATGTAGAGTTCTTTTTAAATATTAGTCAAGATTCAAACTGTTCTTAAAGTTAGGAAAGCAGTAAAATATAAATGCACTTTTAACTTTAAAAACTACCTGTATATGTCTGGGTTTTTTTTTTATAACTGTGTGAGGATCAAACAAACAAAAAAGATAAAATGAAAACATTCAGAATTTCTCAATAAAAAATGTAATTTCCAAAATATAAATCAAATATTATCAAATATATGATTTACTTTTGTAGAACGCTGTGTTAAGTGAATAAATTTCTCATTCAGTACAAAGATAAACGAATTCAGAGGGCTTCGTACACTTCCCTGTGGACTTCTTTTGTCTCAGAGCTGTTTCAATAATTTAAAATGTTGACTCTCCTCTGCCTGTTAGATGAAAAGCACTCCGTGTTTGAGACACACAGAGGAAGATGTGTGGTGTGTTAGATAAATATCTGAGGGTAGGTGCTCACGACGTAATACTGGAAGACCTCAGCATTCTAGGCTGTGAACAAATTATACCTGAACTCCGCTCAGCCCTGAGAGCCTGCTCGTGTTTAAAGGGAAAATGTAGGAAAACATGAAAAGCTCCGGACAACACGTTTAGGACTAAAGAGTCCTCAGAGTGATGGAGTTTTTCTAACCGTGGATCTGGTTTCACGTAGTTTTATTTTACAATTCAATGCAGTGGTTGTGTTTTATCAGCAGCTTCTTCTTCTTTAAGTTCATCACTTTGCAACATAAATCATGCTGAGCACAGACAGATGCTCTCAGAAGCAGATTTTATTATTTTTTTGCTCTTTGCATGAGAAACAAAAGAGAAATCTCTGCAGCTGTAATAAATAAAACAAATTGTCAGAGCCACCATGAACGTGAGCTCTGGATAATAAATCAAGCTGCTTTAACAATTAGTGCTAAATATTCGCAAAAACATCTTTGCTCTGCAGAAACTAAATGTACTTGTTTTTAAGAAACAAGGTCTGCTAATTCTGCGTCAATTCTATTTTTATATAATGTAACAATTCAGAAACATTTATTAATTATGTTTAAAAAAACTGCAAAATATTGCTATTAAAAATCAAACGATTTATTGAAGTAAGTTTTAGGCTCCACGTTGGAAGTATTTTGTTGTTGTTTATTTTAGGTTGAACAAATTTGTTGTGCAATTAAGAAAAGGTGAGTTTATTATATTTAGTTTAATTGTGTCAAACTAAAAAGAACACTTTTTTTTTTACATAATTTTTACTTTTTTCTTTACATAATGTTTTACATTGTTACATTTTTTTTACATATTTTGAAAGAAAATTTGACATAAATGTAAAAATTCATTTTTTTTTGTTTATGTTTGAACATGTTGCTATTCCCAAATATTACTATTTACAATAACTTCATTTATTAAACTGTAAAATAAAATATTCATTCTCAATGACTCGTATATGGATCAGATATAAATCTTTGACATCCATTTGATTTTCTTTTCTTTCAAAATGTTCAAAACATGAGATGCTCTTTTAAAATATTGAACTTTTGCTAACACTAAAACAAATCCAGTGAATTATTGTGAGTAATAGAGACAAAGAGAGTTTAGCCAAACTTACAACGTTTAATAAACAATTAGACTAAAATGTGAAGTTAGCTTTTGAGGATTTAACATATTTGCTTTGTGCTGCAACAATAAAAAAGAACATGTTTATTCATGTTATCAATAATTTTAATAAAAGCATTAGCGTTAGACAAACTTATTTTTGTCCGTGTAACTTTTTTTTACATTCTACTGTTTGTTTTGTCGTATGATCTTGTTCATTCCTCCTCGCCATCATCCAGAAATGGTCCGGACTGCCACCCCGTTCCCCATGGTGTCCCTGCTCTTCGTCTTCACCGCCTTCGTCATCAGCAACATCGGTCACATCCGGCCGCAGCGCACCATCCTCGCCTTCGTGTCTGGGATCTTCTTCATACTTTCAGGTACGTGCTGGAAACAGGTGGCTAACGAATACAGCAACAACAAAAGTCTAAGAAATGTGTGGAAAGTTTCAGCTCTTGAACTACACAGACTCACACTCTGAGTGCAAACAAACCAACAAGAAAACTAAAGACAAATCTTTTGTTGTAGACGATGAAGAGGAACCTTTATGGGCTCTGGGACCCTGTGTACATAATTCCATTCCACCTCATGTACCACGTGTGGTGAAATAACAATAAACTGTCCAAATACTTATCCTGATGCTTGCTCAATAATCCAGGTAGGAAAAAAAAAAAGTAAAGTCTGGTCCTCTGGACGTTCAAAAAACAAAACAAACAAAACAAAAACAGTGTTTTTGAATGTCCAGAGGACCAGACTTTACTTTTTATGAAGTCCAAATACTTCTTTTAAAACGTCTTCAGTTAATCCAAAATGCTGCTGCCAGAGTCTTAACTGGAGTTACTGGGAGAGATCATATCACTCCAGTTTTAGCTTCTCTCCATTGACTTCCTGTCAAATCCAGAATATCATTCAAAATCTTACTTCTAACCTACAAAGCCCTCAACAACCTAGCTCCATCTTATATTACAGATCTTATTGTTCCATATTTTCCTAACAGAACACTTTGCTCTCAGACTGCAGGTTTACTTGTGGTTCCTAGAGTTTCCAAAAGCAGAATGAGAGGAAGATATTTCAGTTCTCAGGCTCCTCTCTTGTGGAACCAACTTCCAGTTTCTGTCCGTGAGACTGACACATTGTCCAGTTTGAAGACTTTCCATTTTGATCAATCCTATAGTCAGGGTTGGCTTGTTATGCTGCTATAGGCTTAGACTACTGGAGGACAAATTGACCTCATTTCCTTAAATGTTTTGCTGAAACTGAATAGTTTTCATTTGATACTATTTCTATCTTAACATGTGATTCTTGACCTGCCATTGTGTATCTGGTCTTACCAAACCCAGCCAGTCGAAGAAGATGGCCGCTTGTCCTGAGCCTGGTTCTGCTAAAGGTTTCTTCCTTATGAGGGAGTTTTTCCTTTCCACTGTCGCCTTCATGCGACAAGATGAGAGTTCTGTGATGGAGTTAAACTCAAAGCTGCTCCTCAGATAAATAATGTTAAAATGACGCATTCATTTGATGGGTCAAAGATAATTAACGTCTCACGTTACGTTTTTATTAAATTCAATGCACACATTATACAGTCCAGAAAAATGAAAGAATCTGTTTAATTTATGAATATATGATGCATATGTTCATCTACATCTACATTTTTATATATGAATGTTTCTGTTCCGTGCATTGAGACGACTTATGTTGTGACTTGGCGCTTTATAAATAAACTGAATTGAATTTGAATTAAACCTACTTGAGCTTAAACATCAATTGTGTCACTTTAAATTACAAATAATTGGGAGTCGTGTCCGTCAAGAAGACTTCCAATCACAATATTCTTTAAGGGACAGCTGGAGGGAAGCACATGATCATAATTTTTATCGACAAGTTTCAGTTTTAAAATTATCCTCATTCTGAAAAATTGGCAATATACATGTACACCTGATATATATAGTTGATTTGTGTTGTTTCTGTTAATAGCAGGTTCGTAAAGTCCGTTCATTCATTCCACTTTATTTCTACAGGTTAGTCTCATTGAGCCTCGATGACTCATTTACAAGAGAGACCTGTTTAAAACACACAATGATGACAATAATGGACAATCATAAAAGAAAGCAAATACATTGAAAAAGTAAATGCTGATAATGCGATAAATGTGTTTGGTTAATACTCTCTTTTAAAGGTAAAGTTCATGCTCATCAGCTGTTTATACATTTTATTTTTCTATAGGTAAGCATCTGCAACTCAAAGCATGACATTTTTCTATATTATTCTTATTTTATTTGTATTGGATTATTGATATGGTTTATCTTACTTCTTTATATATTGTTTTTAACATTTAAGAACTTTTATGTGAATCTTTTTATCTGTTGCTGCTGTTACACTTGAATTTCCCATCCGTGTTACAATAAAGGCTGTTTCTATTCTATTCTATTGCTCGGGGTCATAAGACATGAAGTGTGTTTGTTGCGCTTTGTTTCTAAAAGTTGTGTTTTGTCTGTCCACATGAGAGTTCAAGGCTGGCGTTGTCTCTCTGCATCATGTCTTTAAAGCATCCGAAAATGTAATTTCTTTGAGGATGCACGACTGAAACAAAAAGAAAATGTTGAGAAAACGCAGTTCCTGTGTGGACAGAAACTTTTATTGATCACTTTGTCTCACAGTCAATCTCAGTTTTTAGTCTTTTCTTTACTACAAAGTATTTTTTTTACAGACAGACTGTTTGAAACTTGCTCTTTTTGTCTGTTGCCGCTACGAGGAGCACTTTAATGACAGTCCTGTCTGAAAGAGTCCAACTCCGTCAGCCTCCATCTTGAACGACTTGTTAAAAAGCAGATGTGCTCGTCAATATTCTGCAGAATAATTGATAAAAGCAGCAGCTCGGTGAATGGAAGATTCACTCTGCTGCTCCGGTGTCGTCCTCAGCTGCAGCTTTTTCCTCCTGCAGGCAGAACCAGTGGGAACACGTATAATTTTGACTAATAACTCTCTCCCTCTGCGAGCAAACAGTGGGGGAGCTGCGATTTCACGTTTCGCTGCAAGACTTTTTATTTCACCTCAAAGCAAACAAAAAGCCAGTGTGCTCAAACAGAAACTTGTAACAAAAGGGTTGATTTTCTGCGTAAAGATGATTTTGTGGTTGCAGCCGAACGTCTCCCGTTACCTCACTGCAGTAAAGTGAGTGGACGTCAGCCCCGAGTGCAGATTTTATCTAATCCAGATGCTGCTGAGGGGAAACGAACTGGAATAAATGTTTGAACATAACTTACACAAAAGCTTTTGCTCAGTGAAAAACGGATTGACACTCACACGTGTCACATTTATCTCAATTATGTTAAAAACAGACAGGCAAACAACTTTCAAAGTACCGTATTGTCTGGCGTATAAGTCACACGATCAGAAAAAGCATCAGAAAAAAACATATATAAGTTATTTTGGCATATAAGTTGCATTTATTATGAGTTTATTCAATGGTCTAAACAGATTTATTTCACCTGGGTGGTGCGGCACCATCCATCCAGACGGAGCCGCTGTCTCTCCAGCGTTCCTCCGCCTGCACCAGCTGAGCAAAGCGAGAGCGCACGAGAGGACTCGCTGTTGCAGTTGTTAGAAATTTAAAGCGTCAGTCAAAATTGTGTTATGAGTATAGAAAAAAAACGTATATAAGTCGTTTTGACGTATAAGTCGCAGTTTTTTTGTATAAATTTGTCAGTTCTGCGACTTATACGCTGGAAAATGCGGTACTTTTACAGTCGCGAAAGCTATTTTTCCAAATTTGTGTTTAGCTCTCAACTTCAACACCAGAATTTTTGTCAAACACGCGCTCACATTCATTGGAGTTTTTACTCTTTCAGCATGACAAATTCTATTAAAAATATCAATCACTTTTATTTGTTTATTTATTAGTTATGTAATGAGGTAGTTTGAATTTGTTTTGGACTTTTGGAGTAACTTTTAGTCGAGTCTCATCAGACAATCAAGACGTCACTAACGCTTTAACTGAAAAGGATCAATTCTGTTTCCAAAAACTTTAAGTTTTTTATATTTTCCCTTTAGCTGTGAGAACTCGTATTCAAGAGAGACCTGTTTTTAGGAGCAGATGATGGGGGTTAAGGGCCTTGCTCATGGGCCCAGAGTGGAGCAAATAGGGGTGGAGGCAGGTCTAGGTGTTTCACCTTTCCCACCCACATTTTGATGTTGTCAATCCAGGGAGTTGAACGTGCGACTTTCCAATCTCATACCCCTCTTCTCTAACCTCTGCGCCACCACTCCCCCAGCACATGGACATCAATAAACACTGAAACACTGGAAGAAATTATTTCTGGTGTTTCATATCTGATATTTGGTGTCGTCATACCTTCACATCAGATCCTGGCTTTGATTCATTCGTTCAACGTTCAAGGTGACTTTATTGTCGTTCACATCACATGTGGTGCATGAGGTGGAACAAAATTGTGTACCCAGGGTCCCAGTAATACACAAAAATAGCAAAAATATAATTGTATTTATTTATACAGGTAGTCTCATTGAGCCACGAGAACTAATTTTCAAGAGAGACCTGTTTAGGGAGCGGATGGTGGGGGTTAAAGGTCCTGCTCAGGGGCCCAGAGTGGGGCGAATGAGGGTGGAGGGAGGTGTGGCTGTTCCACCTTTTCCACCTACATTTTGATGTTGACGGTACCTCGAGTTGAACCTGCGACTTTCCGATCACAGGCCCATCTTCTAACCTCTGCGCCGCAGAATAAACTTGAATAAAGAAACAGTCTACAAGAATCTCAGATACACGCTAAACAATAATGATGTAAAATAATACGATGTACGAAACAGCAGCCTGAACATGAGCCTGTTGTGAGCAGATGGGTACGAATCAGCAGCATGGACAAAGTGTCAAATCTCCAATTAAAGTGGCATCACAGTGATTTTCCTGGTTAGAGATTCATGAGTCTAAAGCTTTGGGTAGAAGCTGTTCCTCAGTCTAGTGGTTCTACACTTAATGCTGCCTGAGGGGAGCGGGGCAAAAAATGTGTGCTGAATGAGTGGGGTCCTTAATGATGCAGGTGGCCCTTTTCCTGCATCTGGAGGTGTAGATGTAGATGGTGGAGAGGCTGACTCATTCATTCTTCCTGTTCGTGTCATTAATGAAAGTGATCCAGTTCCCTTCTATTTAACTACCGTATTTTCCTGCGTATAAATCGCATTAGTCAAAAAAAAAAGCATCATGAAGAGGGAAAAACAACACATGAAAGTTGCTTGGGAGTATAAGTTGCGTTTATTATGTGTCACCGCTGACCCCCGGGAAATGTGGGCCGGTGTCAAATCGATTGGCGTCTGCGGGAGCATGCACGGGAGGACTCTCTGTTGCATTTCTTCAAAATTTAACAAGATTACC